CATCTTCCCTGCTTGTTAGCAGCAATGGCCACCCAAGAACAGATTCCAGGGGGCACATAGGTCATTAACTCCGGATTACTGGTCTGGGGCAGGTTTTTGGAGCCCTTTGTTCCCAAAGAGACAGGAGTCAGCTTCCTAGCTGACTGAGAAGGGAGAAGCCAGGAGGTAAGACTAGAAAATCCAGTGGTAGACCTCTTAGTCCCATAACACCTTCCACCTCTCAGTTCTCCTTGGGGATTCTTCAGGTCTATACCCCTGATCCTAAATGTGGGGGAAGAACCAGAGAGGATGAACGTGAAGTTTACTGAAGCCTCAGTGTTGAAGAAATTACATGTTTCCTTGAATTACAAGGAAGCAATCTGCCTCCCAAGTCTGCTGTTCCGAATTTTGTCAAAGCACAGAGCATTTTTTAAAGACCACTTCAAGAACTGATCAAATGTACTTGACAACAGAGCCAGCAGGCCAGTCAGATCATCTTCAGAACCCCTGAGAAGTTGCCTGCACAATGGAGATGACAGTTCTCAGAATCTGCGGCTGGGAGGGATTTCACTCCATGAAGGAGGAAGGAAAACAAGGATGCTAATAAATATCCACCTAGTGCCTACTATGTGTTAGAGGGTCTAGAGAACATTATTTCATTTAATCCTCACTATAAAAGCACTTGATACTCTTCCATTTAGCAATAATAAGTAGCAGTGGAGCTTCTCTGTAGGCTTAGCAGCAAAGAGTCCGCCTGCCAATGCAGGAGAGGTAGGTTTGATCCCACATGCCTGGAAGATCCCACATGCCCTGGAACAACTAAGCCTGCACACCAGAACTATTGAGCTTGTGCCGTAGAGCCTGGGAGCTGCAGCTACTGAAGCCCCACACCCGAGAGCCTGTGCTCTGCAACAAGAGAAGCCAGTGCAATGAGGACCCCGCGCCCCGCAGCTAGAGAGCAGCCCCCGCTCGCCATAACTAGAGAAGAGCCGGGGCGGCAACAGGGACTCGGCACAGCCAAAATAAATAAACACATAAGAGTCATTTAAAAATTAACAAAAAATTAGCAGCGAAGCAGCTGACATCTGCACTACTAATAGACACTAGCTACCATGCAACCGTGATGTGTAAACAGCAGCCTGCCAGCTGCAAACTCAGAGGGGAAAAAAGTGTAAATCTGTTTCCATGTCACTGAATTTCGTACTGATTGTGAGTCCCTGGCCCTTTGGGTAGCAGGACCTTAACCTCAGTGCTTTCAGTTTCTCTCTTAGCTTTTCCAACAGCTGCATCTAAGTTTGGGGCGGGAGCAGGGAATGGGGAGGGGAGCGCATGTTCCGGGTGGGTGCATCACCGGGGGTTCAGGACACCCAGCTCGACTGTCCCTGTCCACTTCATTCAGTGAGCGCACAGACTTCCTCAGTCGCATCCAGTCCCGGGCAGCCACCACGGCCTCCTCCCCATCCCGCTGCAAAGATGGTCTCGGCAGCTCTGCCCAGCCACACGCCCAGCACCTTCCACAACACTAGAGAACGGTCCATTTCTGTGGGCACTACGCCAGGGCCTGGGCGCGCTGGGAAGCTGTCTCGGTCCTTCTTCCTAGAACCTCCGCTGTTCCTGTCCCAGGCTGTATGCAGAAACCCCAGTGCCCAGCCTGTTTCTCAGCTTCATTCTTCAGTCCAGACTGATTCAGAGGTTCTTTCTTCTCTGCATCCTTCTCAATGACTGCCAGCATCTTAGTCCTCTTCTTCACTCCCCTCCTTGTGCTGCTTTAGAGACGCCTTATTGAACTGGAGGGCAGGAGAGCCTGACACTTCCTTCATTCTTCAAAATCTTCTGTTTGGGGGACAAAATGATCTTCCAGGTTCAGGCACGTAAGGCTTCATAAACTGAAAATCTTTCTTACCTTTGCGGTTGCACCCCCACCCCTATGGCAGTGAACGCTGTTAAGCAAACGGAGGAAAAGCAGTGAAAACACCTGAAAATGTTGTTTCGTGGTATTCACGAGCTCAAATCCTCCAGCAACCCTGTGAGGTCAAGATGAGTGCCATTCAGTGCTGAGGATGTGGAAGCTCAGAATGGACATTTGCCTCGTCTGGGATCACCCAGGGTGAATGGTGGCACTGGGATGGAGCCAGCCTGCCTGACCATATTACCCGAAGATGAAATCTGAGTTGTACCAGCTCAGGTGATAAGTAGAGGCTGCCTGAGAAGTTGCTTTGAGAATTTTGAGGCTGTGTCTGAACTCAGTGAGTAGAAAAATACTGTGATCCATTAGTAATGTCTGTCACGGGCACTGGGCTGGGCAGCAGCCACTCGTGGGCTGCCAGTGCCAAGCCGCTCCCTAGACTCCGTGCTACTTAGAAATTCTGTTCTCATCTGTTGGCTAGATAAAATAACGAATGCACGAACTCCTTCATTAATGCCACGTTTCGAGAAGGGACTGGATTTAGACAGTGAGAGAGGCTGCAGAGTCGATTCACAGTGGTCTTGGGAGGCCAGGCTGGACCATTAGAGATAAGAATGGCAGGGGGTTGGAACTTGAACTTGGAAAAACTCAGAATGCCAAACTCAGAAGCTTGCGAGCTGTGGAATCATGAGCCGCTCTTAACACCAGGATCTGGCAGTGGGCACTGGAGGCTGAAGGAGCAGCTTGAAGAGCTCTGTAATCCGTAGAGGTGCGGGGAGGTGCCCAGGCCGGGGAGAGGAAGGTCACAACGACAAGGACAGGAAGACAGAAGAGACAGCTCCCAGGACTCGGCGGCTGGTGGAGGCTCTTTTCCCCAGTGACTCACACACTCCTTCTTTCTAGCTGAATTTCAGTTTTATTTTCGGCTCCAATCAGCGGTAATAGAGAGCTCCAGGTGCTTTCCCTCCCTCGCCCCACGTTTCCCTCTGCAGGCTCCCGGAGCCTAACAATGCCCATCCTCCCGAAGAGAAGACGGTGACAGCCCGGAGCAGAGCAGCCTGTGGCTTTATGACTGTCCTCACGGCGGCCCCCGTTCACTGAGTGCCCTCCGCCTCCAGCACAGGGTCATCCCTTCACAGGCAGGCATCATCCCCTCGAACCCTCAGCAGCCCGAGGAAGTAGGAACTACTAGTATTGATAGTTTACATGTGAGAAAACTGATTCAAAAAGGCAAAGTAATTTGCCTGAGGTCACATGGCTAATAAGTAGTAAATCCAGAAGCAGAAATCATCTTCTAAAATAAAATCTGGAGTTCAAAGCTAGCTCTCTTAACAATATGCCTGTGGCCTACTCAAGCCATAAACTTTCACAAGTAGAAGTGTCCTTGTGTGTGTATAAGTCACTTCAGTCGTCTCTGACTCTTTGTGACTCTATGGACTGTAACCCACCAGGCTCCTCTGTCCATGGGGTTCTCTAGCCAAGACTTCAGTTCAGTTCAGTCGCTCAGTCACAGTAGGTGTTTAATAAACAGTTGCAATGATAATAATAGTAACAATAATAATAGTTACTTCTTTATAACCTTCGCAGCACTTTGCATATATTAGGTGCTGTAGTAAGGTGCTGGGATTAAGATGCTGCTGCTGATAATGATGGTTGGGTGGAGGGAGAGAATAGGGAGAGTGTAAAAGCCCTTTTACATGGGCTTCAGAAATCACAGGGCAGCAGTTTCTCACAATGGAAATTGGGTGAACACTGCAGCCAGACAGCTGTGCTTTAATTTATTACCCATCACGTAACCGGGGGAAGTTACTTCATCTCTCTTGGCCGGGCTTCCATCCCTCATCTTCTATAGGACTGCTGGTAGGAGGAAATGATGCCATGCTTCTAAAGGGCTTAGCCCAGTGCCTGGCCTAGTAAGCATTCAGTTTCTAGTAGGCATTGCTTTTATTCTTGTAAGTACATTTCTTGTCTCCCCAACCCATGGAGCAGCACTCCCCCTTAAAAGCAGGTTTTACACTATGGTGTACAGGGCCCCTGAGTATGGGGCCAGAACATTTATCCAACAGCTATTCATGGAGTGGCGTCTGGGTGCCTACAAGTAAGTTGAGCTCTGGCCACACGATGGGAAAGAGAACAGAGAGAATCATTGCCTTTGTGGAGTCTACAGTCACCGTGGAGAAGACAGATGAATGACAAGTTTGTAATTACAAATGGGTGCTCTGAAGGAAATCAACAAGTTGCATGATACAGAATAATGTAGGATGGCTGAGGGATGTTAGTTTCCTATCACTGCTCTAACAAATTATTGCAGTTTTAGCACCTTAAAACAACACACATTTATTATTTTACAGTTCTGAGGTCTGGAATCAGAAATGAGCCTAAAGAGGCTAAAATCAAGGTGCTGCAAGGCTGTGTTCCTTCTGGAGGCTCTGGGGGAGAAGACATTTGCTCACTTTTTCCATCACCTAGATTCCACCCTTGTGCCTCGTCTCATGGATCCTTCCTTTGCCTTCGAAGTGCATCACTCCAGCCTCTCTTCCTCATCACATTGCCATTCTCTGACGCTCATTCTCTTGCCTCTGTTAAGGAGCACTCAGTCCATTTGGTCCACCTGGATAATTCCAGGAAATCACCCCATCTCAGAACCCTTAATTTAATCACATTGCAAGGTCCCTTTGAACATGTAAGGTAACATATTCATAGGTTCCAGGAATCAGGATGACAGCCTTAGGGGACACTATTTAGCCGAGCACAAGGGGAATCTACTTTATGGATGTCCTATTCTGGACATCTCCAAGCTCAGCACATAGCAGAGACCATGAGTGAATGAATGAGTTAGTGAATGAATGAATGAACAGATGAATGAATGAGCTCACAGAGAGGGAGAGAGACAAGGCCAGCATGTTGCAAGCAGTCCAGACTTGAAATGAGCTCTCATGGTTTCCCTGAGAACCTGCTACTTTGCTCATAGATGTGTGCTCTGGCATCAAGGGTAAACTTGCTAGGGAGTTAAGACCTTTCTGGTTCGTAATGTATGAAACTGATTGCCCTGAAGCTGAGATTCAGGGAGGGACCTAAGAAGCCAGCAGTGTACCGAGTTCCCATGCAGGGTGCTTCATCTAGCGTACAATCCTGTTTCAGCAGCCACTTTTGTCTGCATTTCTGAGATGCGGGACTGAGGCACAGAGAGGTGCAGCCGCTCAGCCGAGGCCGCACAGCCAGTGAGTGGGACCCGCTCGGACTTGACGCACCGAGACTCCGCACCAGCTGCCGGGCTGCGGGGCCCCTGCTTGTTTCCAGCCCACACACTTAGTAAACCCACTCCTGGGGCCACCCAGCATTCTCCTCAGGGGCCTTCCTATTTCCTTGCTGGACTCTGTGTGTGATTTGCAGCCTTGCAAGATTTTAAAAAACAAGTATCAGCTTGTGACTGTGCTTGTCACTTGCACCTATGGCCACGCCCTGTGCTGTTTCATTAGATGGTGTCAGGAGGGGGGCAAGGGACACACACACCACACACACACACACACACACACACATGCACACACACACCCTCCTCCGAAAACCCTTCAGCTCCCTGAATGAGGCTACTCCGCACGGCTCCCCTCGGGAAGGAAATACAAGAGGTTGCCAAGAGAGCTCGGTCGCTTTGCAGAGCAAATCACTCCCTGCTTCATGTCCATATCTAGGCTGCTTCCTGTGACTCAGTCTGACTACAAATGGCCACGGGTCAGGGGCCAAGGTCAGCCAAGAGAGGGATGTACAGAACGGAGGTTCAGTCCAGGCCTGGGAGTTAGACAGCTGAGAGCTCTTCACCTGCTTCCACATCTTGCTAATGGCTTTAGGCTTATGTTTCCTCACCTGATATAATGGGTATAATAATGGTGTCTATCTTGATAAAAATGAGATAATACATTCCTATCAGCATTAGTACAGTTCTTAAAACATAAAAGTTACCAAATAAGTGGTATTTGTTGTTACTTGATTTAATTGGGTATTCAGAGTCTCAAATTAATCAGTTTACATACTTACTGAGCCCCTGCTCTGTGCCAGGCACTGCTGAGTGCTAGGAGTACAGTAGTTCAGATCAGTTCAGTCGCTCAGTCATGTCCGACTCTTTGCGACCCCATGGACTGCAGCACGCTAGGCCTCCCTGTCCATCACCAACTCCCGGAGTTCACTCAAACTCAGGTTCATTGAGTCAGTGATGCCATCCAACCATCTCATCCTCTGTCGTCCCCTTTTCCTCCCGCCTTCAATCTTTCCCAGCATCGGGGTCTTTTCTTTTTTTTTTTTTCCATTTATTTTTATTAGTTGGAGACTAATTACTTTACATCATTGCAGTGGTTTTTGTCATACATTGAAATGAATTATCCATGGATTTACATGTATTCCCCATCCCGGTCCCCCCTCCCACCTCCCTCTCCACCCGATCCCTCTGGGTCTTCCCAGTGCACCAGGCCCGAGCACTTGTCTCATGCACCCAACCTGGGCTGGTGATCTGTTTCACCCTAGATAATATACGTGTTTCGATGCTGTTCTCTTGAAACATCCCACCCTCGCCTTCTCCCAGAGTCCACAAGTCTGTTCTATACATCTGGGTCTCTTTTTCTGTTTTGCATATAGGGTTATCATTACCATCTTTCTAAATTCCATATATATGTGTTAGTATACTGTAATGGTCTTTATCTTTCTGGCTTACTTCGCTCTGTATAATGGGCTCCAGTTTCATCCATCTCATTAGAACTGATTCAAATGAATTCGGGGTCTTTTCAAATGAGTCAGCTCTTTGCATCAGGTGTCCAAAGTATTGGAGTTTCAGCTTCAACATCAATTCTTCCAATGAATATTCAGGACTGATCTCCTTTCGGATGGACTCGTTGGATCTCCTTGTAGTACAAAGGACTCAGATATGCAGATGACACCACCCGTATGGCAGAAAGTGAAGAAGAACTAAAGAACCTCTTGATGAAAGTGAAAGAGGAGAGTGAAAAAGTTGGTTTAAAGCTCAACATTCAGAAGACTAAGATCATGACATCCGGTCCCATCACTTCATGGCAAATAGACGGGAAACAGTGGAAACAGTGACAGAGTTTATTTTTCTGGGCTCCAAAATCACTGCAGATGGTGACAGCAGCCATGAAATTAAAAGATGCTTACTCCTTGGAAGGAAAGTGATGACCAACCTAGACAGCACATTAAAAAGCAAGAGACATTACTTTGTCAACAAAGGTCCGTCTAGTCAAGGCTATGGTTTTTCCAGTGGTCATGTATGGATGTGAGAGTTGGACTGTGAAGAAGGCTGAGCACCGAAGCATTGATGCTTTTGAAGCGTGGTGTTGGAGAAGACTCTTGAGAGTCCCTTGGACTGCAAGGGGTACAGTAGGGGAACAAACAACATCCCGTCCTCATGGAGCTTACATTCTAATGTGGCAGAGACACTTAATACACAAATAAATATATAAGCTCAGAAATATTATATAAATGCTCCAAAGGCAATTTAGACAGTGAGGGTAAGGGGTGGAAAGTGGCTGAGGAGGGTCAGGGGTTGTCTGTTTCAGACAGGAGTCCATGGAAGGCCCCTCAAAAGAGGTGACGTGGGAACACAGACAAAAATGTGTGCGGGTGCCTGGTGATTGTAGCTAAATTGCTCTTTTTTGTGGGCTGAGATGGCCTGGGAGCCCACTGACCTTCTAGGTAAGTCCTGAGGCCTGCCCCAGAGCAGTAGGTTCTGCAGTCAGACAGTCGAGGGTTCAAATCTCAGCTCTGCTGCTGTCAAGACACTTGGCTCTGAGTGGTGGCTTCACCTCTCTGAGCGTCCCTTTCCTCCTCGGCAGCAAAGGATCAGGGGTGTGGAAACTCCCAGGAATGGCATGAGGATTAGAGGAGTTGACATGTAAATCCTGAGCAGAGGACCTGGTGAGGAGCACATGCACTAGAATTGGTGAGTGCTGACATTCGTATCGTGGGATGCAAGTTTGGCAAGTTGGAGCAAGTAGGGATGACCCTGAGTGTGGATAGGAGGCAGCTGGAAACCTTGGCCTTCCCTGGGACAGCCTGGGAGACATGAGGGGAGCGTCATCCCAGAGCACCTTGGTCCTGATTTTCACTGAAGTTACTCCCTCCCAGGCCCTCATCAGCCATGATGACTGGCTGCCAGACACAGCTCCTCCGAGGGAAACCTGGGGACCAGGGAGCCTCGTCCTGCAGATTAAACTTAAGGCTGAGGAGGCAGGCAGGAGCATGGACAGCAAGTCCAATCAGAGCTGAGATCCCCAGTGAGGGGGTGGCTGACAGTGGCTGAAATGTTCTTATCCAACTCCCAGGGCTTACCAGCTGGACTCTGGCTTCTGGTTTGGTGATGATTAGTGTTGGGGGACACTGGACTTGAGGATGATGGCAGGGGCGGAGAAGGCTCCAGCCTCACTCCAAATTGCCTGCACGCCCAGCTCATCATTAGCCTGGCAGGGCTGGATTTACTATTATCATGACCACTCCTAAGACTGTATCTATTTTAAATAATTGAGTCCCCTACTGGATTCTAATGGACCGTACAGATGCTGTAACAAACAGCCCCAGAGTTTCAGTGGCTTAAGATGGTTAGTTCTCACCAGGGTAGCTCAGAGCAGAGTGGGCAGTGCCTCTGATCTTCTGCTCCACGCAGCTCCTTCCACCCGCAGCTCCTCCCTCTTCTGCGTTTTCAAAATCCTCTTCCTAATGCCCCCGGGTGGAGAGAGGGAGGTGGGACTAGCCTGAGAGGTTTGTCTGGGGTGGGTCTGGAAGGGGAGGACAGCATGGATAGGAGGAGCTCTTCTGGGCTCTCTAAGTCTGATCGTCATGTTCAGAGCGTGTGCTGAGCTATCACCCTGCAGGCAGCATTCTCTGACCCCTCCACCATGCCAAGGCGACCTGAGGGGTGTGTGTGTGCACACACCCACAGCCACACCCCCACACACACACATACATGCCACGCACACTTGGTGCTCCCCACGCCCTCGGCTGGCCGTCAGCAAAGCACGTATCACAGGGAGTGGCCATTGCCTGCCCATCTGTCCTTCTCATTAACCTCTGAGCCACAGGGAGGCAGGAGCCTTGTTCCCAGAACCAGCACTGTGGTGGACACTTCATTGGTTTAACAGAAAGAAAAGAAGAGAGAAAATTAGCACTTGTTGAGATCACTCAATTCTTTTTCTTAAGTTGTGATAGAATATATATCACTTGAAATTTGCCATCTTTTTCTCTTTTTCATTCTTTTCTTTCCCCAGACTTTAACCTTTTTATTTTGTACTGGGGTATAGCCATTAACAATGTTGTGGCAGTTTCAGGTGGACAGCTAAGGGACTCAGCCATACGTTTACGTGTATTCATTCTCCTGCAAACCCCGCTCCCGTCAGGCTGGCCCATGACGCTGAGCAGAGCTCCACGTGCTACACAGTAGTTCTTGCTGCTTGTCCATTTTGAATACAGCAGCATGTACGTGACCTTCCCAAACTCCCTAACTATCCCTTCCTCCCAGTTTTAGATCCCACATATAAGGGATGTCATACAGCATTTCTCCTTCTCTGCCTGACTTACTTCACTCGATATGACACTCTAGGTCTATCCATGTTGCTGCGAATGGCCTTATGAAATTTACCATCTTAACTATTTTTAAGGCCACAGTTCAGTACCGCTAAGTACATTGACACTGTTGTACAATCATCACCACCCTCCATCTCCAGAACATCTTCATCTTGTGAAACTAAACCCATTAAACACTAACTCCCCATCCCCCTTCCCCCAGCCCCAGGAAACCACCGTTCTACTCTATCTCTGTAAGTTCCACTCCTCTACGGACCTCCTGTAAGTGGAATCATACAGTATTTATCTTTTTGTAACTAGTTTATTCAGTCAACATGATGTCCCCCAGGTTCATCTGTGGCACAGTATGCATCAAAATTTCCTTATTTTTTCAGACTGCTTAATATTCCATTGAATGTGTATAGCACATTTTGTTTATTTATTCACCTTCAATGGACACTGGGTAGCTTCTTCCTTTTGGGTATTGTGAGTAATGCTGCTTAAAACATGGGTGTACACATATCCATTGAAGTCCCTACTTTCAAATTTTTTGCGTATATACCCATAAGTAAGAATTGCTGGAGCATATAATTCTATTTTTAATTTTTTTGAGAAACTGCCATACTGTTTTCCATAGCAGCTGTACTATTTAATGTTCCCAACAGTGGTACATGAGGGTTCCTATTTAACCACATCCTCACCAACACTAGTTGATTTTTTTTTTTT